TAAAAAATATGTAGATTTATTAATATAAAAATAAAAATTACAAACACTAAAATACTTGTACGATTGCACGTTAATATTTGTTTTTAATACTTAAGATGCATTCAAACGTGTATGAATGTTTGACCTAGATAAGATAGAATGTAAGTAATATATTTAAATAAACTAAAAAATAATTAAGAATTATTCCGCAGTTTTTAGAATCCTTAACAATTTACATAAATTTGAGAAAGTAAAACTATAACGGGTTCAGTGTTCGGTTAAATTATTGCGTGGATGGAACATTAAGTCTTCGACTTTTATTATTTATTTAATACTTCGAGTATTTTATTACCTACCAGCACATTAATAATTATATTAATAATCACATTAATAATTATTATACATAATGATTGTAAATATAACAAGTTTCAATAATACATTTATTACCATTATCTTTAACTATATTAAAAATCATAGAACTGGATTCCTTTACTTGGCACAATGGTACTATTATAATAATGTAAACGATTAAACTATTATAATAGTTAACACAAATCATGTATAATCATGTAAATAAGTAACAATTGTTTTAAATAATAAAAAAAAAATTCTTTATGAAATTTTAAAATATTTGTTTTTATAAAACTCTAATTAATATAAAATGTTAACGTATTATTCAACGATAAAAACACAATAAACTAATTTTAAAATATAAAGCGAATGTCAAGGTCAACAAAAATCAATATTTGTTGTAACCTATGAATAAAAAAACATAAATCATTTAAATGTGGTCATGTGAGTGTATTATTATTACAATATTCTATACAAATAATTGTAATATTTATATATATTTAAAGTATTACTTTATTTGCTATAAGTCTACGACTATAAATTATTTCAACTAAAATATGAATATCACGTATAATAATGTTAAAATTGAGAAACATGTACATATATGAATTCCAATGACGTAAATCTAATTATTGATGAAGTAGACATCAGACTATGTCCTTGGGCCTCACGTCTTTTAGGGAAATAAAATGAATAAAGATTTTAAATTTCAAGTCTCATATTTCGGTAATTTCTTTAAATATTAGTATATTTAATATTGGTTTTCTATTTACTAGGATTATCCATTTACATTTAGACATTTAATAACTAAATAATGAGTATCATATAATAATACATCAGATAGGTACAGATTACAGGCATTACAACATCTATCAATTTAGTAAATAACAAAGATTAAATAAAATATTATATATGCCGTTAGGTTAGGGTAATCCAGTGATACTAGAAGGTAAGAGTTCATAACTCTTCCAAATGACTTCATTAACATGTTAATGTTATGCTATGTTTGCATAGGATCATAGAAAATTAATCTCTGTAGTAAATTATTAATAGTACAACCCCCACCCCTTCAAAAAATTAATCCTGTGTGCGCAACTGGAGTAATCAAAATTTAAACAATATGGTCGGCTTTTATTAAGAGTTATAAGTACTCAATATTTTCACCAATAATTATGTTCGTAATTGTTGGTTGGATCTATTCTAATGTATGGTTAACTTACTGACATAGTTATAAGTCTCAACATCTGACATATGCTAAACGTCCAAAATATTAGGATATGAAATATTTTATTAATGTACCAAACGACGGTCGGCGTGTTATATAATGATTACCTATCTAATATATACGTCTCCCAGCCTAGTTCTAATCGGTTATCATTAATGTGTATCTATATTTCGAATTGAAATTATGTAGACGGACAAAAATATAGCGTTCCTCAAATCGTCTGAACCTGTTAAGCCTATGCAAGTCGAACAGGACATGATATCGCGTGTTTTGGTCACCACTACCACGCAATCAGACCCGCGCACACAAATAAAATATACATTAGTCCTACACATGTGCATTATTATAATATATTCTATACCACAATGTCATGCATAATATCACAGTATAGAATAGGTAAGCCAGCGTAGCCAGGGCAGGTAGTACAATTGTATAGAGACGAATTATTTCGTGGAAAGGTTTGGGGGAGATCGTCGGTCGATAATATCCCCTTTTCGCGTCAAGGAAATAATCATTTTGAGATATACTCATTTTTTTAAGATTCTTTGTGGAGTGTTACGGTTGAAGAATTATTCGTTCATTTACTAGGCCGTTAAATTTATTGTTGTAGACCATGAATTAATGACGATTTCATTACAATGAAGATATATGATTCATAGAATCCACAAAATGATCACGAACTGATCATTATACTGAGGAATAAGGAATAATTACCTATTCTTTAGGTACCAATTTAAATTGCTATATATATCAATAATAAAAAAATATACATATAACACGATAAAAACGTTTTTGTGTTTGTTTAGTTATCAATGCTTTCACATTAGATGGTTATTGAAGCAAATGGTAATATATTTGTGTGCTCACTATACGGCGAATAAGGGTACCAAAAGTGTCTGAACAACCCCTAACGTATTGTTATAATAAAAGTGGTTTATTAACAGGAGCATCATTTCAACTTTTGAAAGGGTGGGGCAACTGATTAAATATGCAGACTTCATAATATTTAAAAAATTATGGTTACCTATATATTTAAATTTTTAATATTTATGGACCATAGACTATCAATAAAATATTTTTCAGATCAAAACATGTAAGGATTAGCAATGAATAATAATGTAATGATGATAAACAATTTACCCAATTAAATAATAACATTAAAGATAGTAAAAAATTGAATTATTTACTTATTCTATAGGCTATAAGTTACCTATTAATAGGTTTAATGGAATAATAATATAAATATAATAATGTACCGTAGCTTGGGGTAAATAGGAATAATTTTAACGATTTTTTATAGATTATGAGCTCAATTTTTATGGTATCGATATCATGAAAACTGTTTTATAAAGATCACATATAAAGAAGTATATAATATACCAAAAATAAAGTTAATAAGGTTCGCGTTATAACGGTTGTCATAAACCGGGAAGGAGCCAGAGTTTCCCAACTTTTAATAAACTGTGAACGTGTATTTAATAGACAATATCATCTAATTTCTGAGTACAAAATAGTAAATAAAAATTTACTATTTACTGATTTTAGCATTTGATAATCGGATAAAGAATTGCCAACTTTTTAAAATGTCTTAGAATGGGGCATTTGCCATAATCTGTCTCCTCCCAAATGACGCCTCTGTTTATAAAATTGACAAAAAGCGATTAATGCGCGCTATTTGGAAAACTAGAATGGGGAATTAGCATCTTTCTGATTTGCTTTAATGAAATTAACGATATTAATTAAACGTGCCTACAATTTACATGTAAAATAGCTTAAAGATACTTAAATTACTTAAAAAATAAATAAAATTTAGAATTTAGATATATATTTTACTATCATGCATTTTAATCGAATTCGATTAAATTTTTTAGAACTAAAGTCATCTGTAAATTATAGAATCATATACGAGGTACTTAATAATTTATAAAAAGTGACCTAGTGTGTTTTACCGATGGAAATATCTCCGGATAATTTACGGTGTTTATAAATCGTTTTAATATCCAATTGTTTTCCTTCGGTAAAATTGTACTATAAAATTATAACTTACGATGTATTGGAGATTCAAAAAACTCGCAACTCGAATCCAGTTCGTTGGATAGCCGATGAATTATAATTATAATACAATTTGTTGTGAAATTAATGATCGCATGATCAGCTGATCGTGAGACGTAAATACCATGTTGAACCTATATGTTACTTATTTTGCTCTCGGAATTTCTTACAACAATAGCCGACTAATGAATGTAGATAACCGCATTTTTTTCAATTATTTCTCGTTATCGTGTCTTACGTATGTGAAAAAAAAAACTTTCCTCTTTCCTTCATTACTTGCTCCTACAACACAACACCCGTAACCCATACGATAACGTACGTTACTCCGTCCCACTCCCCGTGGAGGATCCAAGGTCTGAAACAAGCACTGGAGTTTAACTAATTAAATTATAATTAACGCGTGAATCGGTTTGTCGTTCGGGTATCCGTGGGTACAACCGAGTGTTCGCAACCGCGGACCGCGTGACCGAAGCGCGGTCCGGCGGTGGTAGAAGTGAGCTCGAGGTGATATCGTGCGACGACCACCTGCGCAGCCTCGTGTTATCTTCGTTATCGGCCAGTCGCAATCGTCGTCGTTGTAGTCGAGGTCGTGTTCGCGAACGATGTCAATATTTCACGTAACAATCTAGCTCGAGTGCACAGCGTTCGTCCGGGTTCACTGCGATGATAATATTGTTATTGCATTATCGCGTTACCGGCGACTTTGTACGATAAGTACTACGCAATACCGCGCGTGTAGGCGCGATCCGACCGCGGAATAGATTATTAGATATCCGTTCTGCGATGATCGCGGTCGGTGTATACCACTCCGTTGCAGGAACAGAGACTAGCTAGCAGTAGTAGTTCCCCCCCCCCCCGCACGCGCCTCCGCCCTACGCCGCCGCGTGAAATGTTAACGGTGAACTTTCGGGCGGCGGCAGCCGAGAAACGAATCATCAGTAACGGCCTTGTACGGCCCTTGCGCGGTCCGTGTTAGCGCGTGCACCGCCACTTGCCATTCGGCCCGTGGTCGTCGTGTTGCGCACCTGCGCGGTACCGGCACGCGTGCCTCCATAAAAGGTCACAGCGTGTGCTGGTCGTCGTCGGGTTCCTCGCACGGTCCACTCGAAGATGGCTAAAAGGTAAACGATTTTGTATCCCGAGCCGAACGGCTTTTTCTCGTGCCTTTTGTGCAACCGGTCGCAGCTCCTCCGGTCGACTTTCCACCGTTAGCCGCCAATTCGTTTTCGTTTTCATTTTTCCCCGGACGTCTGCGGCGTGTCCGTATAACTCGTTTTTTCGCGCCCGTTTCTGATGTATTATTATTTTTATAATTATTATTATTATCATAACAATAATAAGTTAGACGTTGTGCGAGTGTTTACGTCGTTTAACCCTAGCTTTAATTTTGCAGGATGGAACAGGTGGTATGGGTGCCGGAGCCCAAAGAGGGCTTTATGCTAGCGTCTATCGTGGATTTGGGTATGGATGAGGTCACCGTGCAACCCGTTGGAAGGTCGAAATCCCGTTTCACACTGCCCCTGGACCGGGTATACACGGCCGATCCACATTTCGACAACAAGGATGTTGATGACAACTGTAAGCATATGGATTTTTTTTTTTTATCGTATACCTGCTGCATGGCAGAAAGGATTTTATTAAATTTTATATTGTACTTATAGGTTCTCTGATGCATTTGAACGAAGCTACTTTATTGAACAATGTCAAAATAAGATATTCAAAAGATAAAATTTATGTAAGTCTATTACCTAAATAAATTTACAATAGTCTCTTCTCATTGTCAATTTGAAGTAAAACTTCTATCTATCTTTGTGTTCATTATAAGTATTCTCTGAATAATTTATGAACAGCTGTTCGTGTTATGCAACTAACTATAAATATATTTAAATATTTTTTTCAGACTTATGTTGCAAACATCTTGATATCAGTCAACCCATATATAGAAATTAAAAATCTTTATTCCACTGATGTTATGGAGAAGTATAAAGGAAAATCCTTAGGTGTTTTACCACCACACATATTTGCAATAGGTTTATATCTTAAACTTCAAATAATGAACTAGCTATTTAATTATTAAAACTAATTTTATTTTTTTTATTTAGCGGATAAATCTTTCCGAGACATGAAAGTTTTAAAACAATCTCAATCTGTTATTGTGTCTGGTGAATCTGGTGCTGGAAAAACAGAATCTACTAAACACTTGTTACGATACCTATGCTATCAGTGGGGATCTTCTAATGGGCCCACTGCTGATCAAAAAATTCTAGATGGTACCTACTATTATTGATTTTTGTTATTTACTATACATTTATATATTTATTTACATGAATAAATTTAACTTGTTGTTAATTTTATTTCAGCTAACCCAGTTTTAGAAGCTTTTGGAAATGCTAAAACAACACGTAATAATAATTCATCACGTTTTGGGAAATTTATGGAAGTACATTTTGATAACTCATGTTCTGTTGTTGGTGGATATATTAGTCATTATCTTCTTGAAAAATCTAGAGTTTGTATTCAAAGTTCAGAAGAACGCAATTATCATGTATTCTATTTATTGTGTGCTGGAGCACCATCAAGTTTACGTAATAAATTGTCATTAGCTAATCCAGATGCTTTTAATGTAAGTATATTTTAAGGAATAATGTATTATAATTAACTAATAATATATTTTCATCGTAGTATTTAAAAAAAGGCTGTACACAATATTTCACCAATAGTCAAACTAGTAAAAAATTGGAGAATGATCAAAAGAGTCAAATTCAAAATAAACAAGGAGGCCTTAAAGATCCCATGTTGGATGATGTTAAAGGATTCTCTACAATGGATGAAGTTAGTTATTTTTTAAATCAATAGTTTTAAATTATTCAATTATTGTAAATATAAAAAGTCTAAGGAAGAAGTTACAAAATCACATATTAACAATCAGTTGTAAAAAACTATGATATTTTAATTTCTCAAAACAAAAAAATTTTAAAATATTGTTTCATGATATTTAGGCTCTGAGTAGACTTGGGCTATCAAACCAAGAAAGATGTGATATATACACCATTGTAGCAGCCGTTTTACATTTAGGAAATATAGAATTTGAAGAAAACATTGAAAGTACCAAAGGTGGCTGTAAAGTAACAGAACAGACTGAATATAGCTTATCTGTAGTTGCAAAATTACTATCTGTTGATTTTGATGAACTCCGACAAGCATTAATAACTAAAGTAATGATGACTAATCGAGGTGGACTTAAAGGCACTGTTATTATGTAAGAGGCAATTTTAATTTTATTTATTCAATTTTTTATCACAATGTTTTTAAATTATAGGGTACCTTTAAAGCAATATGAAGCTAATAATGCTAGAGATGCTCTTGCTAAAGCCATATATGGAAAATTGTTTGATAATATTGTAAACAGAATTAATTCAAGTATACCATCCAAGGCATCTAGTTATTATATCGGAGTATTAGATATTGCAGGATTTGGTAAGACATGTTTTTATTTTCTATGTATTAAACTTAAGATTTGATAAAGTATTGATTTTGGAAAGTAGTCGAGTTAAATTCTGTGTGATTTAGAGAATACTCATTATTACAATTATATTTCTAAATAGTAAACAATGACAGCCTGTTTTTATTAAATTCAGACCATCAATCTCTATTTAATACTTTCATCAAGAAAATAGTAGTTTTGAGGTATTAGTAAATTTAAGAAATATAAAATACTACTCTTGTATTTGAAACAATTTTCCAAAGTCGGATACACATCCAACTTTATTAAATTTTAAAGATTATTAAATAATTATAATATTTTTTTTCTTTTAGAGTACTTTACAGTAAATAGTTTTGAACAATTTTGTATTAATTATTGTAATGAAAAACTTCAACAATTTTTCAATGAACGTATACTCAAAGAAGAACAAATGCTTTACGAACGTGAAGGCTTAGCTGTAAGAAAAATTGAATTTGTTGACAATCAAGATTGTATAGGTAAATATTATTGTAAATATAAAAAGTCTAAGGAAGAAGTAACAAAATCACATATTAATAATCAGTTGTAACAACTAGGATATTTTAATTTCTCAAAACAAAAAAAAATTTTAAAATATTCTTTATTTTCAAATTCAAGACCTTTGCTCTATGTCACAGTCAATGAAATGTTCTTTTCTAAAATTAATGTTAATATAATAGCAAAGTATCTATAAAAAAAATACTGTGTGTTGTTTATATTTCCATGTTGTGTAATGAAATATTTAATGAAACAACTGGTAAATTAATTTTATTTAATGTATTTTATATTTTGTCTAGTGTTATGCTTTTATAATTTTATTGATTTTACACATGGCTTTAATGAAAGAGATATTAATAAGTAAATATATATTTATTTGTGTGTGTTTTGTTTGTTCAGATTTGATCGAATCCAAAAATGGTGGTATATTCAATTTACTAGATGAAGAATCTAAATTACCAAAACAAAGTTCCGAACACTTTACTACTGAAGTGCATAAACGTTGGCAAGGGCATTTTAGACTTGCCTTGGCTAGAGCTTCTAGGCTCAAAATTCATCGTGAAATTCGAGATGATGAAGGTTTTATGGTTAGACATTTTGCTGGAGCAGTATGTTACCAAACAGTAAGTATTTAAAGATATTTAATATTTTTATATTAGATTATTTTCATATTGGATTAATAGTTTAAAATCTTACTTTGACAGTATAAAATTAACAAAGAAAATAATTAATTAATTGTTATTAATTATTTTCTAATTTAAGACAGTGGTAGAAGTATAATTTTATTGTTGTTTTTACCAAAATAATAAATTTTATGGGATTAATATTTTGTAATATTTTAATTTGGTAAATATGATAATTAAAGTGATTTTTATTTTTATAAACTTTTCGGTATAAAAATATTTTAATACTTTTGTACATTTTTTTAGGGTCAATTTATTGATAAAAATAATGATGCTCTTCATGCAAACCTGGAAGGTCTAGTTCAGGAGAGTAATAACCCTTTTTTACAAAGTCTATTTGCCTCAAGTACATTAAGTGCAACCAAAGGGAAGTTAAATTTTATCAGTGTTGGATCAAAATTTAAAAGTCAATTGGCTGAGCTCATGGAAAAACTAAGGAGTACTGTGAGTTAAGTTTAATTAACTGTCTATTATATTTTTTAAATCAATTTACTGTCTAATTTTGTATTTAAAGATATAGGTGGCATATATGTATAATAAATATTAAAATTATTTTTAGGGTACAAATTTTGTTCGTTGTATTAAACCAAATGACAAAATGGTCGATCATTTAATAGATGGTGGATCAATTCTTTCTCAATTACAATGCTCTGGCATGGCAAGTGTGTTAGAACTTATGCAACAAGGTTTTCCATCTCGAGCTCCATTTCAACAACTATACGATATGTACAGGCAAAGATTGCCACCAAAACTTGCTCGTCTTGATCCTAGAATATTTTCTAAGGTATTAAAAATATAAGTGTTAAAAAATAAAAATAAATGTTAATTATTTGAAGACTTTAAGTACAATATTCAGTTTATTTATTTTTGTGGAACACATTTATTGTGGTATCCATCAATTTACATGATTAACATTGAGTGAGTGGTACAATGTTGTGCTATTAAAATTACTGAAAATAATATCATTAGTGTTGTGTAAAAATTATAGGTGTATCATTTTTTAATTATTTGCCAATTTTTAATTTTAACGTTGATAATAATATTGTTCTTTGTAAATTTATTTCATAGGTATTTTAATATTAGTTTAATATGTAACATGTATGTTAACTGTTACACTTAATTTATTTATTGATAATAAGAATTATTGTCTTGTATTTCTAGGCATTATTTAGAGCAGTAGGTGTTAATGAAGGAGATTATAAGTTTGGTGTGTCAAAAGTATTTTTTCGACCAGGTAAATTTGCCGAATTTGATGCAATTATGCATTCAGATCCAGAAAATTTAAAAAAGATGATTGAAAAAGTACAGAAATATTTAACTACCTTACATTGGAAACAATCTATATGGTGTGCTCTATCTGTAATTAAACGTAAGACATTTTCCAATTAGAATATTTAACTATACTATTCTCACAACATTCACTGGACATTATTCTAATCAGCCTTAATTATTACAGTTAAAAACAAAATATTATATCGTAGAGAAAATCTTATTACTATACAAAAAAATGTGCGGATGCATCTATCTAAAGTAAAACATCGCCCAAGATTTATGGGAATAAAAAAAATTAACAGTCTCAAAGTAGGTATTATTAATTATCATAAGTGCTTAAGGAAAGTTATTTAAATGGTTTGATTTTTTTGATTTTAGACTATTTTAAAAGAAATGGAAAAATTGGCTGAACAAATTAAAAAAGACAATGCTCTTTGTATATCAGATGCTCAAAAACTACGATCTGAATTTGATTTTGCTATTAAAAGAATAAGAGTAAGAAAATTAAAATTATATATATTTATTATTCAATTTAAATAACAATTCTGGCATTTTAGAATGATGAAAATATCAAAGCTGCTGAAATAAATGATATTTATAATAGTTTGGTGAAGGCAGCTAATACACAAATGGACAGTTTAAAAAAAAAAGCAGATGCTGAAAGGAGTGCTGAAGCTGAAAAACAACGTTTAGCTAAATTGCAAATAGAAATGGAAAGAGTCAAATCTGCTAAAGATAAAGAAGAACGAGCTAAATTAGAAGATGAACAAATTAAGAAACAGTTAGTAAAATAATGAATTTTATTATTTGAACTTATACCAATATTTGTTTATAGAAAAATAGAAATAGAACTTCGACGCAAAGCAGAAGAAGAAATTCATAAAAATGATATTTTCTTGAGTGAAGTAGGTTAGGTAGTAGCATGTGTGGAGAGTTGTTTAATCAAAACAAATTTAAATTTAATTTAGGAGGAAATTGAGAAGGCTGCATTAGCTGAAGCTAAATTTAGAGAACAAATGGAACAAGAAAGACGTGATCATGAGCTTGCTTTACGATTAGCACAAGAGACAAATAGTTTTGTTGAAGATATTTCAAATACCTACACAAAGTAAATAAAATAACAATATAATAAAACAAAAAGTTATAAAAATTAATTTTTAATTGCATAGGAGGTCCACAAATACAGAACAATTATCTAGCAAATATGACTTGTCCAAGTGGAAGTATTCAGAACTAAGAGATACAATAAACACATCCTGTGATATTGAACTTCTAGAGGTTAATATATCGTAAATTTATGAAATTATGATACAAATTATGATTACTATTTTATTTCAATAGGCTTGTAGAGTAGAATTTCATCGTCGTCTCAAGGTTTATCATGCTTGGAAAGCAAAGAACAAGAAACGTACATACATGGATGAAAATGAAAGAGTGCCTCGTTCCATTATGGATTCTGGTAAATTTTATGAATTACAATTTATAAGAATCAATTTTTTAAACTTTTAAAATAGTAACTATTTATTTTCTTAACTAATTTTATTTGAATGTGGTTTTAATTTTTCATTCTATGAGCTACATAACTGACTTGATGTAAATTTTGTTTTCAAACAATTTCATTGTTGGGAATTCATTTCTTTAATTATTTATACTGGAATAAAAATAGTAATAATGATGTTTGTCAATTCAGATAGATATTATGGCTAAATAAATTAATAAAAATGGAAATTAACTTGAATGGCTATAACTTAGTGGTAGACTATTTCATCTTAAAAACCAATGAAGGTTAATAATCAAGTACTAGTGGCTAAATATTTTTAACTCTCAAATTAATTTGTAATCTATCTTAAAAATAGAAAGTAGAAAAGAAAAATTAAAGCAAAATTTATTGTAAATTAACATAATTTGAACAGTATAAGTAAATCGGTCAATTATAAAAAAAAACTGTCTACATTACTTTCATCTTCCCTAGATAAATTTTTTCATGTAATAACAGCAGATGAACAAATAAAATTTAATTTTACTACTTGTATTCAATAAACTATCAATAAATATTTAAAAATTTGATCTATTTTTAACATTTTATTCATTTTATATTTAAATTAAATTTTTTGAAGCTAATCAATCCAAAGGACTTAAACATTATCAGAACTCAAAAGTTCAATCGATAATTCCTACAAGTAGCCAACGCTACTTCCGTATTCCATTTGTTAGATCAACAACACCTACTAGATCTGGAACTGGAGGAGATCAGCATCGTGGATGGTGGTATGCACATTTTGATGGTCAATATGTTGCCAGACAAATGGAACTACATCCTGATAAACCAGCGATCTTACTTAATGCCGGTAAGATTTCATAACATAATATTATGTTAATTGACATATCTGCAGATTTTAGATTAAGTGTTTGTCATGGTAAAATAAAAAATATTAATTTAGATGAATTATTTTAGGGAAAGATGACATGCAGATGTGCGAATTAAGTCTAGATGAAACAGGATTGACTCGAAAGAGAGGTGCTGAAATATTAGAAAATGATTTCAATAAAGAATGGGAAAAACATGGTGGGAAACCGTATACTACCAATAAAACCAATAATTAGGTCTTTATAATAAATATAAAAATGTATTATTTAGATAATATTTTTAAATAATTGTAACAACTAGATATTAAATTAATTTGAAATGTCACATTCCTCACAAAAATGATGTTTTTTATTTATTTTATGTTTGGTTCCTAAAATTGGGTGATTGGTTTCTATCAGAAATGTAATGATAGATGTGATAGATTACAGCTTTAATTGTAATTTTTTTTTAGTCATTTCCTTTTTGATTAAGTTATTATTGTTGCACTATTGTCAAATATTAAGTTTTAAAAAAATTGATTTATATTATTTTTATGTATTCATTAAATTATCATAATGTTAACAATATTCCTAATCACTACAAACAAATTATTGAATGTTATAATTAGCACTAAAATCATGATTAATCATAAAATCCATTAAAAACAATAAATATTAATCTGTGATAAGGATTTGGGAATTTTAAACAAATTTTAAAAGTTATAACTGTTTTTATTTTAATATTTTATAATTTTTAAATGTATGAATCAATGTAATAAAAATTATAATAAATACAAATTTTAATAATTATTATAGTTGTAATTATAATTTATATTGAAATAATTTTTATTTGTAATTTTAAACCAAAATTCCAGATGGAAACAAAATTATCCGGGCAGCTCGTTCACATGAGTGTATGTGATGAAGCATGTGTATGTCTACTCCACTAGCGGCTACTGGTCAAAGAATTTTGTATTTAAATTTTTTATATTACATTGTTGCACAGCACAAGTTATAAAACAGTCTACATTAACACAATTTTTCTTTTGTGTAGATCACTCACAGCGGCGGACTGGCATACCGGGATAATGGGAAAGTTCCCGGTAGGCTGGTTATTATAACACTGGGCCAATGTACTTGGATTAAAAATTATTTTATAAAAATAATGTATTTAATTGTAAGATTGTGATAAAAACCCAATGTAAACGTGATGTAAACAATTCTATGAGCATTTAATCCATGTATGAAGGAGACTTTTATGGAAAATTATTATTATTGAATGTTGGGCCGGTCGAACAGTAATTTCCCGGGCCGACATTTTTAGCCAATCCACCGCTAATCACTCACCTTACTGACTAAAAGTTTCCCGCATGGTATAAAAAAAAAGTTTCGGAAAATATATTTATGTTATTGTATTTAGCCATTCAGCTAGGTTGATTGCGACTTGATATGGTTTAATTATTTATATTAAAACCTGAGAAAAAATCCATAATTATTTGTTGATTATTATTTAAATTGTCAACCTATGGCTAGGTAATGCTACCATTCAAATACATCTAAGTTTAACATTTTTTGTATGAAATTTATCATAGACGATTTTAAAAATAACAGAGATATAATTTTAGCCATTTCAATGAGTTATTTTTAATGAAATATAAGAACTACAGGCTAGTACCATTTTTCATTATACTTAATTATACAGTTTGATCAAAATTATGTTTGCATAACATATATAAATATATACTCTAATATCATAATCTCACAGATAAGAACTATCTAATGCGTAATTAAATAATATATTAATACTACTTTATCCTAAAGTTTAAATAATTATTGTTTTCGCCAAAATAAATTTAAAATTTTTAGTAGAAAGTTTGTGTTGAGTTTAATTTAATTAATAACACCTCCATTTGAGTATCTTTATTTAAATTATACACATTTAAATAATTATGTTGTTTACAAATGAAATAGAACACTGTAAACTTAATAAATATTTAAAATAAATTTATTAACTTTTTTTACAACTTAAGAGCATGTAAGTTCATAACCATTGGTAATTAATATTGATCAATGGTATTTATAGTATAACTATTATAATAAAACTATTTATAACTTTATACTAAGCCTGTACAATGTATTTTAAGTGTTATCACTATAAGATTAAAAAAACGCATTGGCTCTTAGTTATCCAATTTACCAAAGGGGCAGGATCTAGACGTATAACATGTCATTATAAGAACATTATGGGATATTTCGATCATATGTCCTTAATTTACGAATAATTCTTACTATTTTTTTATAAGAAAAATAACCCCTGTTATATTTGAAAAGTGTCTTAAATGCCGCTGTAAGAGTATAAAAGTCAACAAAATTAAACTTTAAATATACATGCATTACATTTATTATATTATTAATATATTTAATATTATACTTTAAATTTATATAACTACATAAGTAACTAGAGCATATTTTAAACACGAGCCCTTGGCTATAAATCAGGCATGTGCAACTGGGCCATGAGGACGTAAAGAATTATATTTGCCATAAGAATCTATGTCAAATCAATTATGGGACTATAGGTGTTCCAAATCAAAGTCTGATTTGAGACATTGATAGTACTCAAGTTTTGTAAAATTATTATTTGTTTTGATAAATTATGGGCACCGAGTGTGTAGCATTGTGATAAACAGATCTCGCCCGGCTATCGGTTCAAACATAAAAAAAAAAAATTACTAATTGCAGAAGTTATGTACTTACAAGTAAAAATTTATTTACTTATATATATATTAGATGTACTTAATTCTTGATATTAAATATCCATTATTTGAAGTGATTTTGATAGTTTGATTAATTATGCGTAGTACTGCGTCAACGTCTTATATTTTATATGACTGATGTGTTCCGCTTATGTAGGTACGCAAATATACAGAGTGATTTATTTAAATGATTATGTACTTGACGAGTACCTAAATATATTTCAAAAGTCACTTGTCATATAAATACATTATTATTATTATATTATATATGCATAGTGTAGTTTTCTTAGACGGATCATACTGTATATCATAATCGTTAATCAATCCAGTTGTTAATACAACATACAATTATACCGTGATACTTCAATAAATAAATAGTATGTAGGTCGTGAGTGTATACTCGTAGGTACTGTTGGAAATACTATTGAATATTTTTTACAGTCAAATGTACAATAATGAAAAGAGATAATGGTAAAAGCTGCACAAAGAAAATTCAAAATACTATTACATTACAATTTATTACAGTATATATTTAGTACAGATATCTTTACTATAGAGATTATATATTAAACTGAATAATGCCCCAGCTTAAACTTATTATCAATGAATATAAAATTGAACAACGTACTTTATTCTATTGTTTTTTTTTTCGATTTTCTCGGAAGTTCTCGTGACTTGAGAAAATAATAAATGTACGTATTTTTGTATTGGGGTTTACTAGTCTATATTTATTTGGATGAATCAAATAATTTATAATTAATTTTTTAGTCCTGATTAAATTATTTTTTTAAATTGTGCTCTAAATCTCAAGCACTTAGCAGTTAACACTGCATACATAAATACACTATACTATTAGGTGTAATATTATACTAATATACATTTATGTACTCGTATATAATACAATTATTATTCCACTTAAATATAGAATCTGCTATGTATGACAATTGTCACATATGTTTATCGACTGGATTTACAAGCAACATACCTACTATGTTTACTGAGCTAAATCTACAGATTATAGTCTTCACAGGTAAGTAGCATACTTTTTCTATTACCTTTCCTTTAAATGAAATTTCAAGAACAGTCACATTTTCATATATGAATAGACGATAGCTTAAAATTAAATTCATAGTTAGATGAGAAATATAAATCTATCATGATATATTTTATTTAGGCTATTCTATCATAGGTACGAATAAATAACAATACTTTGATGGCTAAAGTTTTAATTTACATTTATTTAGCATTTACATAATAAAACGGAATATCAAATTAATCAAAAAATCATTTTAGGTGGGTTAAATTGTGGATAGGCAGTTAGCTACTAATAACTATTCCGTCTAGTGGCATCTAAAGCTGCGTCCGCAATATTCCACTGAATGCCATTCGGTGCAATTAACAATGCCAAAAATTATATAGACGTGGTCGTTGGCATATACCAATTGTCAAATCCGTGTCAAACGGTATGCCAACAGATATCGGTTGGGAGTCGGTATACTTCAAAACACTCTCAAAGTATTTTTTAACTAACCTGCCCAAAAAAGTGTTAAGTTCCTCCCATTTAAAACTCCTGGCTGCGACACTGTGTATACGGGATTTTTGGAAAAACTTGTTCTACTGCAGCGCCGATGCATCGGTGATAAGTAGAACGAAGATTGGCGCATAAAAAAAAAATAAGCAACACGGCTTGGATATATGACGGATTAGAGCGGAGTACACATACTCTCATGGCATTCACGCCACGTATGATAAATTGCCTATATTCAACTCCTTTAAAATAAATCTTTAAGTACTTTATTTAAAATGAGAGAAGTTTGGGATGGCTGAGAAATGGAATTATGTGGGGAACGAGTAGTTCTGGCGTATGCTGATGACATTGTAGTAATGGGGCAGACGAGAGATGAAGTCGTAAATACTACGTCTAAAATATTGAGAGCAACTAAAATTATAAGCCTGTGTGTAAATGAAGAAAATACGAAATATCTAATAATAGCAAGAGAAAGCTCAGCCATAGACCAAATAATAGTAGATGATTATAGATTCAAGAAAGTTGAGGTATTTAAATACCTAGATGTTAATATAAATAGTGACAACAATATGCGTGATGAAATTAACTATCGAATATCATGCGGTGATCGATTCTACTATAGCATAATTATGGTGACAATATATTTTTCTACTCAAAAATGGGATACAAAAAGAATAAATTAATAATTTTGACTAAAAGCTATTTTTTAATTTAATAATTACTAACAGAATTATGAACTATTATGGTTTCAAGAGATAAAAAAATTAAATTTTATTAAAAACAACTATTTTTTATATACGTAAAAGGAAAAGCGTCTACGTTAAGAAAACGATCGACGATTACTGTAATACCGAAATAAAGAATTTTGAAAAATAATTTTTGCCATCGCTAATATAACGTTATTAAAACACTTAAAGTTAATACGTTCATATTGATACATCATTCACCGCAATATGTATTTTTATATTTTATTAGTCCTTATAGTTATATTCCGATACACCACACAGTCCCGATTCTGTTCAACGTCAACCATACAATAGTAATACGGTATATACACATTATATGCACACATGATAGTTAAATATAATAGAAACAATATCCCATTGACAAATTAAATTTGATTATCGTTATTCTTTATCATTTTCTGAAAACGGGACATTTTAATGTCCCGAAAATTTTGGGCATCGCCCATTTGCGCCAAAAAAAATAATCCGTTTTGGGTACAGCCCATTTGTGCCAAAATAAAAAAGGTATATTTTTTTAGACAGCTAATTTACGCCAAATTTACCTATATAAACATTTTAAATAAACGACTTGGTTAATTCTTATACAGTAGAACTCGTTTAAGACGCTCTCGCTTAAAACGATTTCCTGGCTAATACGCTCATTTTTACGACTCCCTTGATTTTGACAACATCATTTTGTTCCCACGTAATACGATTTCTCGTTTAAGACACTATTTATAACTAGTCCTTTGGAGAGCGTCTTAAATGGGTTCTACTGTATTTTAAAGACGTCGTATCTATAACGTATAGTAAAGTTATTTTTATAAGTCTACAGATTTTAAAGCTTTGTATATTATTGCGTCAAAAGATAAACTAACAAGTTGTATATCAGTTTTATTATGATGCACGATATTATCGTACTCCGTATCGGTTAGTCCCAAAATTTTCCTGAAGACAACGGGACGAAGATGCGAAAAATGGGGCAGTCCCATTCAAAAAGGGATGTATGGTCACCTTATATATAATGAAACTTTATAAATTTAAACTGTATCGCGTAACTCAAAGTCCACAACTGTACCACAGTTATTTACGACCCATAGTCACATACACGAGTGAAATTTGATCACTAACTAAAGGAGATAGCAAACGTCTAATTAAGGTATAACGCAGAGTTGCAAACATACGATAGGAGAAAAAAATCAAGAACTACAGGAACTGTACCACAGACTAAATATTTTATCTTATATAAAATACAAATGTTTAGAATGGTTTGGTCATGTCTGCAGAGCGGACGGACAATTAATGAAAGAAGTGCTGGTTAATAAAATAAACAAAAAGCGTCCGATAGGAAGGTCAAGAACCCGATAGGTGGATGTCGTGTCTTAAAATATCAAAGGTATAAAAGAGGACTAGATCTTTAACGACACATATGACAGAGATAAATGGAGAGATTTTATGATGGCTGCGATTTCCCGTAATGGGTTTACAAGCTGATGAAGAAGTAGAAGAATAATTTCAATTTTTATTAAATTCTAAAATGTGATTAACCAGATGAATCACTCGTATCATGATTTATGGCGATTAGGTAATCAATCCGAAATTATTTCGTAATCGAGTATTCAAAATCGGTATTCGTTAATTGCGCCGAATTTGGGACACTACCTGTATAGTATACATTTATTACGTCGGCATAAAATGGGTATATTAAAATGGATACATCTATACCTATAAACATTTTAATATAAATTTATTCAATATAAAACATTTACAACTATATTTTAGCTTTCTGTGCAGCAAACTCTAATAATATTCCAACTTAAACTTTTTAGGAAAACATTTACAATAGATATTAGAGACAACTATGATATATTTTCATTAGATAATTATATTTTCTGGTAATTCTTGACTCTTTTTAAAACTAAGAAGGATCTTTCTCCGCTAACATTTGAACATGGTATAAATATAAAAAGTTTTAAAGCTATTTCCTTAATAAGGAATGAATTGTTTAACTTTGATACTGTTAATACTTTACGAAAACTGTGCATAGATAATTTTTCATCTGAAAAATCTTCATTGTTGTTTTAAATTGTATAATCTTATTCTCAAATTTCGGTTATAAACACTATAAATATTTACTAATTGCTTTGATTTTTCTCGTAAAATATCATCGTAAATTCCTTCCACATTTAAAAAAAAAAACCCAAAAAACTCATTTATTTCAATATATAAATTTGTATGCGCTATTCACTCATAATGAACGAAAATAAAATATTAGGCACGTTTATTTTCCAGTCAATCTTGATTCGTGAATCGAACTCGACAACAACGACAACTATGACCACGAGACGAGTGAGAGAGAGAGAGAGAGAGAGGTAACAAAAACAATTGCTTGGTTGTGTGTAAATAAATTAGGTATTTAAAACAATTAATATTAAATTTAATAATCTGATGGTTATAAATTATAATACACACATAGAGATATATAAGAAATACAATAAACACAATTTTATGTCAGTGTAACGAAAATAAAAATGCATAGGTCCGAGCGCTAAATAATAATAATATGGTTTTACCCTCAATATGCTAAATGCCCGCAGACGAAATAACTTAGCGGTTTAATATAATATAAAATATTATTATAATTATAATCTATATATATATTATATTATATAATTGTTATTAATATTTTTCAATAATAAACTAATAATTTTTCCTAAAAACTAGTATATACACTAGAAAATTTCAAGCTTTTGTTGACGTCGTCAAAAAATTGCCGCCCGGAGCAGCTGCCCCCTTTGCTCCCCTTCCCATAACCCGGAACTGATTGTAAATTATTATTTTGACACATTCAATAAATATATATGTATCTTTTATTATTTATTATTTAAATGTGCAGGTACTTAGGTTTAGGATTTTTCGTTCCGTGATGATTTGTTTGCAATTGATTCCCCCCTATCCAAAAGTTATGTATACGCCATTGCCTTGGTTTTATATTAAGTCCGACTATTGATTGATTTTTTAATCAATAATATTAATTTCAAATGTATAAATAAAACAATATCATATCAAGCGAATGTTTGGATTATTTTAACCGACTGAATATCTAGATCAGCGGTTCTCAAACTTTTTTTTCCGCGGTCCCTTTTATTAGACTCAATTTAGCCACGGTGCTCTGCTGTGAATAACATGAAAGACAAGACAAAAAAAAATAATTTTATTAATTTTATTAAAATTTAACTTAATTATAAATTAATGAATTTTTAAACTTAACAATTAAATAAATAAAGTTTTTGTTATCATTATTATAATTATTGTATAAAAATATTATAAGGTTAAAATGAGAATGTCCGAATAAACAATAGAAAATATTTCATTATTTGCTATAAAGTTTTTACGAAAACAATAAAGGAAAAATATCTAAACATTTTAATTTATTTTTTATGAACCATAGACCACGGTGCCCTTAGAAAGTGCCCGCGGTGCCCCTAGGGCACCGCGGTGCACAGTTTGGGAACCGCTGATCTAAATCATTCATTTCTCGATTATCGAAAACATTCGATTATTCCTATCACTAATAGTACCGTGATACGTGCGTTAACCACCGACGACCGCGGCGCTTGCGATCCGCTTGGCGCGATAACGTGTGCACCGATAACGCGTCCTCTCCTCTCCCCGTCCGTTACCCGGATTACTGTACGGTAATTGACAAGACGAGTTCAGCAATGACGGCATTCACTGCTTAGTCTTCATCAATCGTCATCCGGAATTGTCATTCTTTTATCGACGACCGTCGCACGTCGCCCCACGAAAACACCTTTGCTCGACGACACGGAGGAATAAAACTAATAATCAAATATGGTAAGTACGACGATCGCAGATATGCATGTAACTGCATGATCCTTGACCGTTCGCGTGACTCCTAAACGGTGGTTCAACTTACCCGTAAGCGACGCTCGAATTCATCATCCCCTTCCACCGTGTACCCATCCATGTCTGTCCGTAACGTTTACCGGCTAGGTTCCCGTGACCTTAGACGCCCTTGAAACTTGTCCGGTTTCCAATGTCAACTCGAGAACCCCATCTCACCCGTCTATCAGACACGAGTCCGTCGCGACGATTAAAACGGACAAATCGCCACTGCTTGAAATACGTGGCTCCGCCAAATGCCGTCGATCGTTTTTAAACGTGTGACGAAATTGTGGTGTTGAAAATTGCCATTTTTCTAAATATTTTACATACCAATCGAGTCGCACTATAATATTATGTCCATCACCAAAACGTTGAATGAAAACCTTCTGTTTCCCAATTACAAATATATCGAACTTTTGAACAATTCATTCGCCATGTGTTTCGTGTTTCCATTTTATTTTCTAATGAATGACGTTTCAATTAAATTCTTCAACATCAATATCTACTTTTTGAGAAATAACCTAATCAAACAGATGAATGCAGAAGCCTTGCATGTACTTTATTAAGAGTTGCTAATTATAAAAAGTCTTGACTTGGAAAAAAAATAGCACCTAGAGGTATTATGATGACATGTTCAAAATTTGCGTCCCCACTTAATTAAAAACTGAACATAACCTTGTTCGCTTCCCTTATGACACCTTTGAACCGTAACCCAAATATATTATAATAATATGTATGTTTTTTGTTTAAATAGGGTAAAATCAATTAAACATTTTTATTATAACACAAAAAAAAATTAATAATTAAACAACAGGCGTTTTATGTAATAACGATAGGTGAAAGATTATATTGTATTGTATTGATCATTATTATTATGTAGAACTCTATCAAAAAATACTTGGTTATACTTACACATTTTGGAAATGGTTTGTTTTTATAAAAATATTAACTTTTTGTAATTTTGTAAAAACTTAGATAAAATACCATGTGTTCTTTTTTGAAAAAATAGGGGTACACTAGAATATCTGATTATTTACTTGGATTACTCAGTTCCTTTACCATCAAGTAAACAACAACAAAAATTGCCTAAAGCAAATTGATAAATACTTAGGAATGTTATTTTCTTAAATTTAAATTTCTATTTTATTCACTAAATAAATATAGTAAATGCATTCAAATTATTAAATGTTCTTTATATATATATATATATATATATATAATTCATAAATTAATAGCTCTCAGGAAGAAAATAAAAGTTAGATTCTTTTTACATGGAATATTACAAATATTTGCCAACTCTAGTCTACTAATTTATTTCAATATTGGAATACTTTTTGTTTTTATGAAGTACCTTGACCATTTTAAATTATGTAATTCTTTATTATTATTCTTATTATATCTTTATTATTATTATTATTTTTTTATTATAGGTGAAAAATCTCGAAAATGGGTAATAATTATTTATTTTTAAAGTATATACGTTTTAGAAGATGTTAACTGTAGTAAATTTATAATAAGGTATAGTAATACTATAAAATAAAAACTAAGATATAACATTTCTTTTTAATGAGCCATGTTAAAGGTTAATTTTACTAAATTAAATTTTTTATTCTGAGTTATTAACATGTTATGATTTATCTGGAGTTTAATAAATTATGTATTTAAATTTAATAACCGCTAATATTTCTCAGTTCTGTTTATTTAAAAGTAATTTTAATTTATTTTTATATAATTTTAAAGATAAAAATTAATCTGAGATTACACTTAATGATGTTTTTTCTAGTTACCGTTTTGTTTTTATTTTATAAGTAAAGATAAAAATTAATATAACTGTGATTTATTGTTTAATCTTTGAATATTCTACAAGAACTTGTATAATGTTGAATATATTTAAAAAAATAGATTGTTTAAGATTTTAATAAATATGGTTTAATAATGCTTCTCTCATGTAGGTTCTTTGCAAAGAGTTTAAGTTATGAAGTTGCATGCAATTAATTTAAAAAATGCCATGGATTTCTCTATGAATTATTCTTTTAAATAGGTACTGTGTAGTAACGTATTATTAATATTGTTTACTATAAAAGTATTATCTATATTTCATTTTGATAAAAAAAACACATTCAACTTATTTATTATTATTATTACTACTTACAGTATTACAGTATTTTTTTTATAGAAATACCTACTTATAAAAATAATAAATAGGTCTTATCTCTTTTAAGCATTTACTTGACGTAAATTTTTTTAATTACATTACTATACAGATAGTAATTTCATTAACTAAAAATTGAATAATAACAATTTCACTTAAATTCTTAAAAATTATTTGAGTAAAATGTGAAATATAATTCAAAATACTTAGTTAACTTATTTTAGTGTATTTGTGTTTTATTGAATTAGTTACACCAAATTTTTATTATTTTCTTATGCCAACTTGTATACCCTATTACAATTTTTTAGGATGAGTCAACATAGTTTTATAATCTTAAAATTACACCATACTTTTCTTTATTATAATTCAAAGACAACAAATTAAACTTTAAATATTTCTAACACTTTATTGAACAATTTAATTAATGAAACTGATCTATTATAAAATGTTTAAAATTGATAAAACCTTGAAACATTTTTTTAAATATTAAATTGCATTTACAGCAAAGTAATTTTTATTAAAATACATGTACATTTTTAAACCAATACTAATTATTTTATTTATAAATTTAAATATAGTTAATAGTAATAAACAATAATGTATATAAATTATATAATTACATGGACATTATATTTTTATTTTATTTTTTTTATAATTTATTCATAACAAATAAAAGAATACAAAATAAATACTAATTATAAATTAGTGATAGTGATGCTGATTCTATGTATTTTTTATATTAATATCTGCTTATTGTAAAAATACATTTTATCCAGACTCTACAGTTTATTCTTTCTTTTATTTTTCAACTTTTTCTTTAAAATATTATATTAAACTAAATAAATTATGAATACTAATGGATATTGGCATTCATTTATCTATTGTAGGTACGTTTTTCCTTGCATGATCGTGAACGCAAACCGCGATCGCACATCATTATCACGCAACTTCTGATATAATGCAAATTAAATATAGTTGGTTTTTCTGACGCGGTCGCGGTTGGTGATCTAAATTTGTTTGCGTCGCGATTAATTTGTTTTAAAAAAAAATATAATTATGACTCATTTTATAATTGCTGGTTGACGTTGGCTATGTCTTTCAACAATGAGTACTCTAGTGATCAAATTTAGCAAAGTCGAAGACGAAACTCTGAATTTGTTGCTTATTCCGAAGGCTGAATCACGGGGGGGGGGGGGGGGAGAAGAGCCACAATAAGCTGCCAATTTTTTTTCACATAAAATGGCATCAAATAAATATGTTAGGAAAATAAAATGTTATTATAATTTTCAACAATATTTAAATAAACTAAACTTATTTTAATTAATATTTATTAAAAATAACTAAATCTGAAGAAAAAAAAAATGAAATAGTTTTTTGTAAGAGGGCTTTACTAAAAGTAATAGTCCCATCATATTATGACTATAATCCAGCCCTGCTTAATCCCCCAATTTATAATTCCCAGATTAAGGATTATAAAGATTTAGAAATAAGAGTTGCCATTGATAGACTTTTGTATATCTACAGTAGGTTCGTTTACACCGTTCACTAATGTACTTTACAAATAAAAATATCGAATACGACTGAATGATGCGGTATAAATTATTCTAGATCACGACGTAAAATCGTCCAGAATAAACCAAGACGATGCGAACGCGTTCTTGGTTCATGGGTCGCATTCGCGATCATTTAAGGAAAAATGTACCTGTACTAAGTTTTCTACAGCTCTCATCATAAAAAAAAATAATTAATAGTTGAACATTATTGATTTAATCATTTATTATGAAATCTGTTTAATAATATATAGATGTAAAAAAAAATGCTTAATTAATTTAAAAATATATTGAGTGTCCTATAATTATGTTTTTTTTTTAATTAGGCTGAAAATGAACCCATTCGTGTAGTTGTAACTGGTGCTGCTGGTCAAATTGCCTACTCTTTGATTTCCATGATATCTAATGGTGATGTATTTGGAACCAAACAACCAGTTATTTTACACTTGTTAGATATTCCTCCAGCAATGGGAGTTCTTGAAGGTGTATGCATGGAAATTGATGATCTAGCTTTACCTCTAGTCAAAGGTTAGATAGTTTGATATTTATTTTGTAAAAAAAGTTTTATGGCTAATAAATTTAATATGTTATTTGTTTTTAGGCTATGTGAAAACAACTGATCCAGCAGAAGCATTTAAAGATGTTGATGCCGCTTTCTTAGTAGGTGCAATGCCCAGGAGAGAAGGTATGGAAAGAAAAGATTTGCTCTCTGCTAATGTAAAGATTTTCAAAGTACAAGGTGAAGCTTTGGACAAACATGCAAAGAAAGACGTTAAGGTTTTAGTGGTTGGAAATCCAGCAAACACTAATGCTTTAATATGTTCTTTCTATGCTCCTTCCATACCTAAAGAAAATTTTACTGCTATGACTAGACTTGATCAAAATAGGTATGTATAACTTTCATACTTTTGTTCAATTATAATCTAACATTGTTTAATATGAAAATTATAGAGCTCAATCTGCCATTGCTAAACGTCTTGAAGTATGTGTAAGTAATGTGAAAAATGTAACTATATGGGGTAATCACTCATCCACTCAATTTCCTGATGTTTTCAATGCATCAGTTCAATCATCTGGAAAATCAACTAGTGTATATGATTGCATAAATAATTCACAATGGCTTGAAGGTGAATTTATCAAGGTAAGAAAATGTAAATTAAATACATTTCATAAACCTTTTATAATCAATTCAACTGACACATAAACATTAATATTTTTATAATTTTTCAATTTTGTTTTATAAAATTCTGCTTGAATTATAAATATCTGACATTTTGGTTGATTACTGCTAACAAAAAAAAAAAAAAAACTATTTTATTACTTTTTTACTTTTTTGTACTATTATAGTATTATGAACTTATGTCATATTAATATACAGTTTGTTAACCAATTTAGAAAAAAACACTTAATTTTTCTGTGAATATCTGCTGTATTGAATTATAACTTTTTAAATGCTTAAGGTTATTTAAATTCACATCTCTAAGAACTTTTGTCTGGTATTATGTGCACACATATTACAATTTGTATTTTTATTATTGTGTGAAAATTTTTAAAATAAATAATAATCTCATACTGAATAAACATTAATATTCATTTTAGACTATTCAAACTAGAGGAGCTGCTGTAATTCAAGCTAGGAAGATGTCATCTGCTATGTCTGCTGCCAAAGCAGCTGTTGATCACATGCGTGATTGGTGGTCGGGAACATCTGATGGCACTTGGGTTTCAATGGGAGTTATCTCTGATGGTTCATACGGTGTACCAAAAGGATTGATCTACTCTATGCCAGTATCTATTTCAAATAAGCAATGGAAGATTGTGGAGGTATGATTTTGAAATTACTTATTTGTTTTAATTAGACTATAATTTTATAATTAATGTAGGGTTTGAAAATAACCGACTTTGCGAAGACCAAATTGGACTTGACAGCTAAAGAACTTCTTGAAGAAAAAGAAGAAGCCATGGCTGTTTGTAATGCTTGACATGTGTCACCCCCAACCGACTGTAAGCTCTGAATTTACTGTTGTATTCCGGGCCCGATTTTTTCTTTATTAGTGATTAAATACGAGGTTTGGGGGTTATCCCAGTCTCGAGATTGTCATTCATCAGTCTCATCTGAAGATCTTTAATGCTATATTCATTCCGAAAATTATATGCATTTTTTAGTGTATTTAAATTTTTATTACTACCTTTAAATGTAATTAGTATATACTATGTCTATTATGTAAACAAATTATGGTTATGGAATTTTAATTTTTGAATGTTAAATTTTTATTTAAAATTATAACAAATATATATAGAAAAGGTGCCCGGGAATTAAATTAGTTTATTCAAAGTTTTGTCTTTTAGAAGTTTATTTCTATCTGAAACATGATTTAATATTTTTATTATTTCATGTACTATTTCCCAACTCCTAACTTGTACGTTAACATAATTTATACTGTTGAATATTTCAAATATTGATTGTAACACAGCTATTACTCTTGTATAATCAAGTGATTACATTTTGGGTTTTTATTACAGGTTAAATAGTCATTACTCATTTTAAATTATTTAAATTATCTAAACATTTTTTTTCTTTTTTTTTAAGCTATTAGTAACTCATTTTCCAACTATAAAATACATTTTTTTATGGAATTTGAAAGATATGTTTTAAAATTAATTATATGAGCTTTTTCTTTATAAAGAGAATATATTTCTTATCAACTTCATTAATAGTAGTAAAAATTCATTTCAGTATAATAAATGTATCATAGTACATTTTTATAATAACGTTAGTGAACATTTTTTTTATTTATATTTTATTATCTAAATTACTCGGAATTGCCAGGAAAAATAATTATGATTCTTCAACTCCTTTTGGGTGTAAATCTCTATAGAAGTATTCTTCTTTTAAGAGGTCCCTACACCTGTATATGTTGTCTTTGTCTGACACACGTACAACATAGCAAATTTGCATTCAGTAGTTCAAATGTAATGATGTTAGCTTTAATATTAGAGTCTATTGACTTATCATTAAACGTTAGGAGAAGGATGTTATCTGTATTTTGTTGATTGATTTTTTCCAATATTTAAATTTTTTAATGTATAAATTTTTTTTAATTATGATATTTTACATACTTATAACTCGCTTAAAAATTAAAATATAAAAAAAAAAAAACTAACAAAATACAGATAATTTTCTTTTTTTAAAGTTTGATTATAAGTCAGTTTAATATTATTAAAGTTTTTTTAATATTAAAGCTAATATTACTACATTTGAACTACTGAACACAAATTTGCTATGTTGTATGTGTGTCAGACAGACAGAAACAACATGTATGGGTGTCGCATCCTCATAAGTGTACATCACCCTAAACAACATTTGAAGTGAGGTATTATCTTTCATATAAAACCCCTGAAAAAATAATAAAAACTAAAATAATATCTATATCTATTTTCAATTATTTTTTTTTTGAGCCCTTACAGGTCTGTTTTGTTTTTTATAATGAAAAATCACTAAATTAAAAATAATAGTAATTTATTATAAATAAAAATAAATTGATATGAAAGTTTATAAATTAAATAATATAAAAGATTAATAATTATTACAAAGATTATATGAGCAACATCATAAATATTATAAACATGATAAAATTCTTAAAAACCTGTGAATGAAATTTACAAAATCAACAATTTATTCTAAAAATATATTTCATAACTTCCCTAAAAACTACATTCGATGTTTTTCTTTTTGATGCCAAAATAACTAAACTTGACCCCCCCTCAAACCCGGCCCCCAGATGTATAACCACGGCCGCCAAGTTAAGAAGCACTGGTCTAGAGCTATAGTCTAGAACTATTCCTAAATCGGTACATCATCATATTGTAAATCAGAAAAATGAGACATGTACAATATGGGTACTAATGTACAAAGTACAAATCATTATATTTTTGGACTGGTTCGACGTCTCTTTCCTCCTACGTTAATCGGTGCTTAAATAAAATGAGCTGCGAGTAGGCAATATAATAAGAACATACCGACTACTCTAGAAAAAAACTGAAATTATGCCCCTGATTATAGGGGTATGCGAGGAATAAAAATTGATTTTCCTATTGCAGATTCAATTATAGTTTTAGCTTCTATCAGATTTTTCTGGAGAACAATTACATAAAAACGTGTACTATTACCAGTGTTTGGAAAGAACGTTGTTTGTTCACGCGTGCGTGTAGATTCATATTTTATTGACATCCGTGAACGTAACTAGCTTTTCTTAAATTTAACATGAACGACGTTTATATTTTTAATGAATTTGAATGATTTTGGAGGCGTTCAAATGTATTTACCATTTTAAAAATATATGGATAAATAATAAATACTGATTAAAATATGTTTAAGTTTAAAACATAAAGTAAAATATAACATATATTTTGTAAAGGTCCCATCTATACAGAATGCCAGTTGATTCATGAAAATAAAATAAAAAAATTTAAAAGAACGATCAAATGTACTCGTTCATTTTTTAATAGAACTTGATCGTGAGCGTGTTTACTTAAAAAAAATGAACATGAACGTGTACAAGTTCCTGTTTTATGCATTAGACGCGAACATGAACCAGTTCAATTTTTACGTGAACATTCCGAACACTGTCCAGTGTTTTAACCAAATATTCAAAACATATTATTCTATCCTAGTTCAACATTTTATTATTTCATTCTAAATGGATGGATCAACTTCTTTTAATACAGACTTAAAGTATTTAAAAATAGTCAATTCCGTGATAATTGTATACAAATTTAATTAACGCTAATAAATTATATATTAACTTACAATTTTTTTAATACCGTTAGGTGGTAATTATATGAGTAAGGTGATATTAAATTTTTAATTCTTGATTCAAGTCTTGATATGCAAGAATAAAAATTCGATTACATAAAAACTCAAAAATATGAGGTATTTCTAAAAATACTTTTTGTGCTTTTTCAAAATGTTTGTATATAATTACAGTTAAGACACGAATATAAAAAAAGAAGAAATATGTGTTGTTTATAAGTACAGTATAATTTCATCATAACAGAGTAATATAGTTATAAAATGAGTAGTAACAATATAAGAATCAAAAAATAAAGTTTGTGTAAGAACATATACATAAGATAAATATAATAAAAAAAACTAAAAATTAAATAATGAATCAATTGAAATCTGAATTTGCAATGATCAATGAATAGATATTGAGATTTTTCATTGACACATTCAATTTGAAAATTTGAAGAATCAAATGTTCTCATTATCCGTGCAATCTTGTTCATTACTTGCCAACAATTGTTGCGCTTTCGGCTTCATTCACGTGTCCTCGACCACGTACAGTAGCATACCCACGGTATAAGCCGCGGCCAGCATCGCCTCTTGTTCGTATTCCACCTCCCTTAAAGCCAAAATCGAAGATCGCAGGACTTCTTCCTGCGCCTTACTTTTAACAACTGTTGCGATGTCGAGCTCATTCATCGCAGTCTTTGTCGCGTCCTCTACCTTGTACAGAAGCATACCCATGGTATAAGCCACGGCCAGCATCGCCTCTTGATCGCATTCCACCTCTTTCAAAGCCGCAATCGAAGACCGCAGGACCTCGTCCTGCATTTTCCACGAGAGCCGCGCTATTGAAGCCGGCTGGATCTTGTCCGGTATCACCGTTCCAGTCACCTGCATCGGGACATCTTCGCTGTCTGCTTTTTCTGACGGTAGAACCCATTCGTCCGTCATCACTGCAGTGGCATCGGTACAAAAGCAGCGATGGTCCACTGCCACTTTGCACGCCGATCGATTGGCCGCCACAAAACACTTAGTGTGCATAACGGTTTTGCAAGCTGTCAAAAAAAATTTTATGTTTTAATTAGAAATTCATCGTGAGTATCGACGCTAATGTATATGTATATTATATACAAATTCGTAACATTAAATAAACAATAAAAATATAAAAATTATATTTCTGGTCTATACTACTTATACTTTACTTACCTATGCATTTTATCATTTTTCTTAGTCGAAAGAAACATCTTTTTTTACAAATCGAGCATTTCTTTAGACTGTAAATGATTTGCTTCACATTCTCATGGTTCGTTACACCACAGCTAACGTTAGTAGCCATTGTCTATATGTAATTACTTTCAAAGTACACTATTATGCTCAAAGTTAAATGCGTTGACTGGTTTGATATCAAAGCTGTTTGTGATTCAATAATCCATAAAACAGTTAAAAAGTAAACATATCCTTAGTGATATCTACAGTTACGAAATAAGATCTGAAATTTGTTGATTTTTCGACACAGCCAAGAACATTATAATATGTTTTTATTACGATTATAATTTATAAGAGATCGAAATCATAATCAAATTACCTAGGTTCAAATATTAAATAAAGGATTATAATTGTAGCAGCAGTTTTATTTTTAATAAATTCCCATATTTGTAATTTAAATTTGAAATATATGTTTTTAAAAATAAGTTAGTAAAATACAAATTTTTATTTATTGAATATATTTCTTTCAGTTGATTGAATGGACACTGTACTGATCGCATGCTCATTCATAGGCAATACTTCGTATACTTCCGTCCAAATCATGTCCAAACACAAATACAACATTTTAGTATCAAAACATTCCAAAGAACTTTTCACAACATCATCGGCATCTGCTTCACTTTTCTTATTCTTTATCTTTTTTAATTCGCTATTCATTTGATATCAAAGATTATATAATTTTCTATTGAATTCTACAGTATTAATTTTTATTTAATGAATTTGCAATCATTTCTTTTAATTTTGATTTCTGTTGCCTGTCTCTATATTTGTTTAATGTATAATTCCATAGTTTGATTGACGACTCCAGAAGTTCAATTAAATTCTACAAAATATTCTTGTCCCATATAACATCGCATATCGTAGACAGAATTACGAACTAATGTGTGTAAAAAAATATAAAATGTAAAGTACCTAAACAATACAAATTAAATAACCGTGCTCTCTTTGTATATTTAACTAGGGGAATTGATTAAAATTAATTTAGTTGTAGAATCCTATATCCGTGTACATTGTGAATCATTGTAGGGACGCTCGCTAAGGTTGGCGTTTGGCAAAATGATGGAGGCGATTCTCGAGCGGAAGGAGAATGTAGAGCGGGACAGGCAGGCGTGATTAGTATAGCATGGTGACTGAATTTGTGGGCCGAAGTCTAAATACCTAGGGGGTTAGAGGCCCCCACGTATGTAAAGCTATGTATGTTGTTATGGTGAATAAACGATACGGGTTCGGGTGGCAGTATTGTGCTAAACAGTTCCAACCCGTTCCCGGTTTCAAAAGGGAAAAAAATAGGGACGCTCGCTAAGAGGGGCCACTTATGCCCATATTGCACCCAATGAGATTTTTTAATGAACAAAAAAAATATCATTCTATACATTTTGCAAATAATGAGCTTATTTTATTTAAAACATTTTTAGTTCTACATTTTTATCAGTGTGCACATGGATTTATAATTTTATTTTTTCAAATTAAGGCGATTATGAAAGTCCGTAATGTATTAGGTATCTACTGTATACTGTGAATCCGATAAACACATCGAGATAATTATCTAAGTAATAATATTAATGACTTTTTTAGATAATCTTTATTTATTCGCTGCTGATATTCCATAATAATGCAAATTAATCATGGATTTTTTGATGACAATTTAAAATAATTGTTATTATTTAATTTACACCTTAAAAAATGATAATAGTAATATAGTTAAATCTATCAATAATTTATATAAACTTTTTCTTGATAATTTTGAAGAAGAAGCAATAATTTGGTATGAAATTTTAGTAAGAAAACCATGTGATCCAAGTACACAAATAGTTGATTTACTAGAAGAATCTAAACATTATCCTACTGTACGAATTACCATTACATTACCAGAAACTTCCTATTAAATTGAAAGAATTTCAATGTGTTTAACATTAATAATAATAAATTAAAACGTGTATGCTAATTATTTAATTGAGATTATAATTAATTGTATTCAAGATTATTTTAACTATGTATTCATATATATTATCTGTTTATAGTGTTTAGCGTCGTATCAGAACATGAGTAAGATCTACGAGTACTATAGGTAATACGAGGTTAAACAATTTGGCTCTAATTCACTTATATAAAGATGGACATGAAGATTCAATATTGTTTGAAATACAAAAAACTTATGTTATAAATCATTTTGAAATAAATGTCAGACGTTTATCATTATTATTGATTCACAATAATAAATATAATTCATAATAGGTACGTTTAAAATTATATTTTAATTTATAGTAATATGCAGCGTTTCAGTTTTTTTCATTGTATTAAATTTAGAGTTACGAGTATGTTTATTATGTAAATATAATAATGTAAATATGTGATTATGTAAATGCATAACATACATTTAATTTCGCAACTCCTAAGCCGATTTTCTGAGGGTGCCCCTGTTTCAGTGTACTATATGCTTTAATTGATCTAGCTAAAACACAGAGCGGCTACTGATAGAGAGGAATAATCCGTTCCCACAAACATTTTAACTGAATGTTTCCGACAATTTAAAAAAAAGGTATAATTCTCGTTTCCACCATCTACCTGCTAAATTGTTATAATATATTCTATATTATTGGAATATTATTCATATTATTTTTAAGATAAAGAATATTAAAAATAATGTTTTGTCATTTTATAATAATAATAAAGTTTTTCTATTTTCAACGTAGTTTCTATAAAAATAATAATAATAATTTTGTCATAGTTCCTATAAAATATAATAATAAATCAAGTCACTAATAAATAAATATATCATATTGTCTCATAGTGAAAACAATAAAAATAATTAAAAAATCATAATATATCCTTAATTTATTTAACATAATTAAATGCAACAGTCTTTACGTACGAGTAACACGATTATTTTAATGTAAGTGTCCAACTGGACATTTTCTACCAAAATGTTTTAATATATACTTTTTAATTATATGATAAGTGATAGGTAACCTTGTAGGTATATGTATATATATATATATACAAAATAAATTGTGATTGATAAGAGTTTTTTAGTGTACAAAATGTTCTTGTCTGTGCTGTAGTTTCAATTTTATCGATTTATATACGATAATTGTTTATTTAAGTAATATTTATTACCTATATATATTTTATATAAGTATGTATGTGTGTGTTATGACATATAAAGCATGAAGATCTTACTTTTTTCAAAAATATGGAATATATTATAATAATTTTTCCATAGCAAAAATATGAAGTATAATATAATAATTTTACCATAGGTAAAGACTGGCGGAAACGGGAATCGTACCTTTTTTTTTTTAAATTGGCGGAAATGACCATTTGACGGAAATGGTATATGCTCTGTTAGAGTACTTCAGATATGTACGTATACTCTTATAAACTATTTGTAGAGAGCTTTAGAGCGCTACATAGACTACTTCCATGAGAAAATGTACATTGTACCTTTACGATATAGTCAACCCGTTTTAAGACGCGATTGTGAATTACTTCACGGACAGATACTGTTTGGAGAGAAACCGTGTAATTTTGTTCTATTTTATTACAAAAAGAAAAATGTGTCTACAAATAAAATGAAAATATTATAAAATAAATGACATCACATCTAAACACTAGAAATTTCTATATTTATATGTTAATTTCAGACTTGGATTGTATTCAAAATACTTTTTAAGTATTTTGATTAATTTTGAAATAATTTTTTTTTTTTTAAAGTGTTTATTACAATATTTTGATTACTTTTTACCATTATTCTGAATACAGTACACGCGAATACTTTTTTTTCGTTTAGTCACTTTTTTAAATAATTTCATAATTTTACCGTCTTATAAATTACATTTGTTTTACTCATCAATTTTTCACAGTCGGGTTATACTGTTTTGTTTTCTTCTATTTTTAGTGGGACAGTATTGTTATTCGCCGATTTTGTAGCAATGACAATAACTACGAAAGTCAAATAGGTACATTTCGAAAGAAAAAACATTCGAAAACCATTCGGAATATTATATTCCATTAAGTGCTGGAGGATTTATCCTGAATAGTTTAAAATAAAAAACCATTTTACTTGAGTCGGGTCGGTAAATGTCTTCGAAATATTTCTCTACGCTTAACCAGTGCTTGTGGTACCGACGGCGGTCCTAACCCTGGTTAGTGGTTAGGTCCGTGCTACGCACGCGGGCTCGCGTTTGCCGCAGACAGAAATCGATTTTGCGACGCACCTGTTCGACCGCTCACCCGGCGACCACTCCGATTGCGCGAAACGCATCGTCAGTCGTCATCGTCACTGCGAAGCAGCCACATGGTCTTGGTTCGGTCCCGTTCCCGCGCCGTAATCGCGTTCAAATCCGTTGGCTTCCGCGGGACCAAAAAATCATCGCCGCACCATCATCGTCACAGCCTGAAGTCCGGCTGTCACCGTGCTACACGCGTTATCCCTGTCAATCGGCCGGGGCTCGTAGGACGCTTGTCTTGGTCAATGGTTTTTATTTGAAATTTTTTACATCCCCGTTTTACCGCAGCGTTTCCACAATGCAGACGAAGTCAGTGGCGTTTGCGATCCGCACAAACGTCGCGTTCGACGGCGAAAAGGACAACGACTTGCCGATCCATGGTTGTTGCGCGATCTCGTTTGACGCGCAAACTTTTTTGCACATCAAGGTACATATATTTACATAATTTCTACGGTGTGGTTGTATGACTGCGACTCGAAACCTGTTGATTTAAATTAAAAATTACAATTGTTAAATCACAGAGGGACTGAGAAGGTACAACGTTTCAATCTGAATATAGAGATGTCTTCATTTTCATAACTTAGGCGATGTAATGCAAAGACTAAAAACAGATATTGTAGAATTTCAACGGTTTTTAAATTCTGTCTCGCTTATACAAAGTACACGAAATTTAAAATATGAATATGGTAAACGAACTGCGTTTCGGAGGAGTAAGGGGGAGGGGGGGGACACCAAAAGGGGGGGGGGGGGGGGGGGAGTTTAAGTTGTATATTTTCATATTTATATACCTAATATATAAACCACTAATACTATATAAAAACATATTTAAAAATGTTCTTACATTTCGGGAGGGGGGATTGAACCCATAAAACTCCCTCTTTGCGTACGATTCTGAATGATATTCCTAATCATTAAATATGTATGACAATACTTTACCACCATATAAGTTTTATTAAATGGATATAAAATTAATGGTACTTACTAATATTTAGATTAAAATGTGTAGGTAATGTTTTAATTTTAATTTTTTTTTTTTTGAGAGAGTATGTAAGATTAATATTTATATCGGTGAAGATAAAGATTATGTGATAAAATATTTTGTTTTTTTTTAAGAAAATTGTTCATTGCTTTTATACATTTTTAAGATGAATTTCTATTCTTATATAAATATTATATATATTGATAGATATTTTATTTCTGGTTATGATGAAATGAATGTTTATTTTTGTATTTTTATTTTTCTAGGAAAAGTATGACAATAACTGGTGGATAGGTCGCTTAGTGAGGGAAAATTCAGATATGGGATTTGTACCGTCTCCCATCAAACTTGAAGTTCTTCGTATGATGGATCAATCACAAACTTCAACAACATCTACTTCAAAAAAATTGCCCTTGTTCAATTTAGGTGGTGTACATTTTTTTATAAATTTATGCAGTATACTATTTACCAATAAGCATAATTGTAAATTTTTAAGAACGTTCTGCTAAAATTTATTTGAGTAATACTTGAAAAACTTTTTAAAAATACTATTTAAAATATTCAAATATTAGTTTATTTGAATAGTATATGAATAATTATACAAAGTTCTTGAATACTAAAAAAGTATGGATAGCTATAACAAAATAACCAAAGTAAGCAAGACACTAAACATTTAAAAACATTATTCCATAAATTGAAAAACTACCTACACAATATATTGCATGCAATTTTTAAAGGTGTTTCATTAAAATTTTCGATGTTGTTATTTAAAAAAAAAAAAAAAAATGATTATTCAATAAAACTAAAATTACGTAATTCAAAATAAAAATAAAATAAATATGTATCAAAATATTTATTCTTTAAATAGTAATCATTATAGAGCCACAAAATTCAAAGTTAATTAGAATAAATAAAGTAAAGATTTATTATTTCATTCTTAATATTTATTGGTTTATTTTTATTTTCCTTTTATATTCTATTTATTTAATTGATATTTGAAATAATTTTGTAGTAACATTTTCATGAAACGTAAATTTTCGGTTTACTATTTTTTTTTTTTTTTTTTTTTTTTTTTGTAATATTAATAACTTAGTTATATTTCATTATAAGAGCCAACATTTATTACAGCTGTACAAATGATCAGATAAATGTATCAATATTTTTAATGTTAAAATATAAACACGACTGAAAATTAATAAATTAAAGAATATAAGCATTTGTGTTAGCTTATGGATTTTCAAAATATTAAAAAGTTTGTTTATCAAAATTGTTTGAATTGAATAATAATTTTGCTTATTTGAATTTTATGCTAAAAATAGTAATAGCAATTTAAAAAAATGCAAATTTTAATACAATTGCTCATATAAATAAGTTTAAACTTTGAAAGGTGGTTCAGAATGTGAATTTTACCTTCTATCATTCTAAAAATTGATTTTTCAAACGGTTACCCGATTAAAATATATTGTGTCACTATGTTAATTGAATATATTACTGAGGGTTTTTATTATATCTCCTCATGATTAAATTATATAGTCTATAATCTATGTATTTATATTTATGGTAGAATATATATTTTAAAATTGAATAACTATAAATAGTTTTACTGTAGTATTTAATATCAAGTGAAAATTCATAACTGATACGGTTTTGATTTTGGCATATAGATAGTTACATTTAAATTAATAATGTTTAAATAAAACTTTAAAACTTAACTGTTTTAAATTAATTTTCAAGTCATTATTAATTTAATATTTTTGCTATAAATTATGTCTTGTTAAAATAATATCGGTAATTTAAATTTATTGATGATTATATTTGTTTGTTTTATAGCTAAAATTGATAATCCCATTGAACATAATCGTGTATCTACTTTAACTGTCCCAACACCCAAAAACAAACAAAACATTTTTTTTAAAAAACAAGTGATACCACCACCACCCTACGATGTTGTACCCGCAATGAGACCGGTTGTGTTAGTTGGACCTTCTCTAAAGGGTTATGAAGTGACCGATATGATGCAAAAAGCATTATTTGATTTTTTGAAACATCGTTTCGAAGGAAGGTAAATTATTATTATTAAAATAAATTATACTGTTTAGATAGTTCAAAGAAATAAATTAATGCAAATCGTATGTTTTATGATATTATTATATTGTAAGAAATCTTATCTTTAAATTTCAGAATCATCATTACTCGCATAACAGCTGATATATCTTTAGCAAAAAAAACTCTTTTTAATAATCCTTCAAAAAGAACTATTATTGAAAGGGAACCGGGTCTAAAATCACAATGTAATGTAATGATTAATGTGCAACAGGAAGTTGAACGCATTTTTGAACTAGCTCAAACATTACAGGTATTGTGTTTTCTTAATCATCCGAAATATTGAATTACTAATTATACTAAACGCTAATAGTTAAGTTGGAATTTTTTGATAGCTTGTTGTTTTAGATTGTGATACTATTAATCATCCATCGCAATTAGCGAAAACTTCTTTGGCACCAATCATAGTTTATATAAAAGTTTCACCTCAAGTAAGTTTTTTATAAGAATTCTAGAAAGCTATTTGGAAAAATTATGTATATATATATTTTTTTTTAATGTTTATTTAAACATTTAAATCCCCTCCTTCCTCCTAGGTTCTAATTTTTATGCACAGCATTCACTGTTGAGTGCATAGTAAAGGTTCATTTTATTTCGGTTATTAAAAAAAATAACATTAGCCACTAAAAATTAAATAAAAATCTTTTTATTATTATTATTATTAATAAACTTTTCACAAAAGTTAGAACTCCGCTCACCATGAAATTTAAAATCTGTCACTTTTTAATGTATCTATTGTATATCTAATATATTTAGGTATAAACAATATATTTTCGTTTACTTTACTTATTTATATGTTTAATATGATAGTGCATTGATGTGTGACAACTTCTCTATCAATTTTCTTGATACTATTTGTGATTTCACTACGATATTGTTAACAAGATTTTTGGTCTAGATGACAACACTTCTGAAGGTATCAAAGTTGGAAGTCTTGAATTAATTTGTATTAATTTTAAATAATTTAAATAATTTATTACCGTTTTATACTATCACTATGATGTTGCTATCAGTATTAATTTACGTAGTTATTAAAAACGAGAACGATAGTTCACTATTTTTATTTTTAGCTGTGTTAATAAGATATTGAAATTTGATTAGACAATAAAATAATAATTTGATATGTATTAATGTAGAATTACACAAATCTTATAAAAAGTAGGAACTTGGTTTTTTGTATGGTCATATAATAGGTTTTCTATTTTTAAATGCATAGTTTTTGTAGTGACCTATTTTATTAATAACAAATAGTTTATTTAGTCATAGTTACTCTTGTATTTATGTAGAATAATTAAAAAAAAGGTATATATTAACTATATTATATAGTACATTTTTAATTTGTAAATCCTAGGCACCAGTTTTAACCTACATACATGTTTAGAGTCTAATATAAAATAAATTCATAAGAACCAATAAAAGTATTAGGTACTTCTTGTAACATTATTTTATTATACATACATTTTATTATAAATATTTACTATATATTTTTATAAAATAATTCTACTCTAAGTTGTTATCATACAGTTAAATTGATACAGAACGTCTTTAATATTTATTTTCTTGTTCAATTAATAAGAATAATGTTTAATTTACGAGAAAGTATACACTTTTTTTTATTTATTTTTTAATTTATTCAACTTAGAAAACTTATTTCACACGAATAGCTTGTAACTAGAAAAACAATAAAATATAAATATTTTATAATTTGTAAAATTTTTATACATTATCTGATTTTTCGCTTAAATATTTTAAATATAAAACACTTTGTATACATGTATTTGTATTTGTAGATACTTCAACGATTAATTAAATCTCGAGGGAAATCACAATCTCGACATCTTAATGTTCAAATGGTGACGTCTGAAAAGTTAGCCCAGTGTTCACCAAAAATGTTTGATGTAATACTGGACGAAAATCGGCTGGAGGAAGCGTGTGAACACATTTCCGAGTACTTGGAATCATATTGGCGAGCCACACATCCACCTTTGACGCAAAATCCTAACGAATCACAATTGTTTACGAAGCCTAAAAGATCACCAAATATAGATTTTTCTCCAGAAATTTCGAAACTTAATAATAGCACTCGTGAATAATATTGTTTTAGTTATATTTTTTGTACATAAAAAAATAAACTGATTGTGTTTGTTTATGTGTTTATTACTACCTTCATAATAACTTGAAACCAAGAAAGATATGTTGGTTTCGGTTAACGTATTAAAGAATGTATTTATTTCATCACACATCCTGATCATCAAACACCACACTATTTCAGAATGTTAAGTACTATTACTATTTTACTATAATAATTATTATAATAATAATGTATTATTAATATATATTTATATTATTATTATATTATATTATTTATATATTTATATTTTATATTATTATATTAATATATAATTATTATAATAATACTCGAATTAATTATATTCATAATTATGGATAGAAAACTTCTAAAATCATTATTCTAAATTTAATTTAGGGTTATTTATAATTATTTATTCTTATAACTTATGTTTAATAGATGTTTAATAACTAATTTAAAATGTATTATAGCTAAAACCTTGAATCGAAAATCGTGTAATTCTCGAATCTAACAGATAAATATGGGTCAGTAAAATATTAAATCATATTGTTGTTGATTATGTTATATAAACTAATAAAGTAGCCGAACAGTATAGTAGTACCAAACATAACCAATAATTATTAAGTTTAAAAAATACGTTACTCTTTAAATAATATCAATACAGAAAAAAAATAATAGATGATTGAATCGTGAAATATTTCTAGAACTTTAATGATGATGTGGAAACAATGAATGAAACGAAGAATAATTCTGAAATCAACACAACTCTGCTTTTTTTTAGCCAAAAATTGGATAAATATCGAATGTTTTTTCGAAAAAAAAGGTGGATAATGTGTTTTTGAATTATTTAGGTTAGTCTTACATTAATCAATTAATAAATTCTGAGCTTATCTAAAATGTAGCAGATTTTGGTTTTAAAATATACCTACTGAATAAATGATTAAGTGTTAATCTTAACAAAGAAGTCACTAGGGAGAGAACATTTTTAAAAAACTGTTTAATATAAAAGAATTATAAAATCCAAAAAAAGACCAGAAATTCAGAGAAAATATTGCACAAAACATACAATGACAAAAAGAAACAATGGATAATAATGTTGAAATTCTATGGGCAAACTTAGAAAAAACATTAAAAAATCATGGCCAAGGAAACACTGGATTACGAAAAAAAAAAAAAAAAAGAATAAATGGTTTGATGATGACTTTAGAAGAACAAGATAGGGTTTGTCTTATAATGTTAAAAGATTCAATGAGAAAGAGACAATGAGAAACACACAAAAATTGAACAAATGGAAAGCAATTACAGGAGTAACACAAACATTCCTTAGTAGGAGCAAACGAGATTAAGATAGGATTCAAAAAAAGGACAACTATAGTAAAAAATGATGAAACATTAATAACGAATCCGAATAAAGTAGTCAACAAATTCAAATGTCCCTTTTTATAACTATTTAACAATAAAAATATTAAAACAGTAATTCCTGAATCCGGTGTTATAATAAAACAAGATTTTGTCGAACCAATAGATGAAGAAGTAGAAATAGTTGTAAAAATGCTCAAGAACTGAAAATCTCCAGGAGAAGATAATAAGGTCTCAGAAATTTTGAAAAAAGGAGGTCAAGCCTTAATACAACAGATGGGAAAGATAATTCGAAAAATATGGAAGGAAGAAACAATGCCAATGCAATGGAACACTTCTATCTTATGTCATATATATAAAAATGGAGATGCGTTAGGTTGTATAAATTATAGAGAAATCTTTGCTTTGTACAGCATATAAGATACTATCAAATTAACACCTAAAACTAAAACCCCTCACAAAAAAAAATACTAGGTGGGTACCAAGGCCGTAACTGGGAGGGGGAGGTCCAGGGGTCCGGACCCCCCGAAATTTTCAAAAGTAGAAACATTTTAGCGGTGAATATATTTTATTAACTATAAATTGTATTAAATAATAATATTAGACCCCCCCCTTGAAATTTTTTTCCAGTTACGGCCTTGGTGGGTACCAAGTAGAATTCAGAAAAAGAAAATCTACATTGGACCAAATTCACATAGCAAAACAACTAATGGAGAAAATATATGAATTCAATCAAGACTTATTTATCCTATTCATTGACTACAAACAAGCTTATGGCTCAATCATCAGAGAATCCTTGTGGGCTATGATGTTGAAATTTGGAATCCCGTAGAAAATGATAAAATGAGTATATACTTGCACTATAAATTTAAAATATAGGATTAGATACAAGAAGAAGAAGAATTCAATATAAAAAATGGTATTGTCATGCATTATCTCCTATACTATTCAATATAAAGCTCTAGAATATGTAGTAAGAGCTGCCCTAGAATTCAGCACAGGGATTAAAACCTTGAAAAACACATGAGTAACTATATTGGCATATGCGGATGATATTATGGTCGTAGATGAATCAGAAGAAAATCTAAAAACGATATCAGACCTGATAAAAAAAGTAAGGATATAGGTTCAATAATCAACGAAAGTAAAACAAAATACATGATATTATCTATTATATAGAATTCACAACCAAACAGAATTCATAATGGACGAATGAGTTTTGAAAGAGTAGAATTTTTTAAATACCTTGCAGTAGGATTGGACACAACCAGTGATGGACACAATGAAGTACAAAGAAGAATAACTGCAGCTAATAGATGTTTTGGAATGCTAAGACCACTTTTTAAATCTGGAACCCATTCAAAAAAGTTGAAAATAACAATTTTTTTTTGTTTACCTCAAAATCAAGTTTCCATAGGGAACCTAGGAACCTATTTAATTTTTTTTTTAATTTTATACTTTAAATATATAATAATATAAAATCAAAAATTTTTAAATGATATAAAATAACCTATAATTTTTAAATAATTTGATTAAAATTAACTTATACTAATAAACACTTTAAAAGTCGCTTTCAGAATTAGTTATTTTATGTCATTAAAAAATTTTGATTTTTATACTACTAAATATTTAGAGTATAATATGAAAAAAAAAATTAAATAGGTTCCCCGGCTTCCTAAGGAAACTTGATTTTGAGGGAAACAAAAAAAAATTGTTATTTTCAACTTTTTTGAATGGGTTCTAGATTTAAAGAGTGGTCTTAGCATTCTCATTTAAATGAGGGTAATTATCTAAAATAAAATTAATTTTATACAATATTGAACGTTATTTATAAAGAATTATACACTGTGAATTATTTTATAAAAATTAACATGTTTTATGTGAGATATATAATTTTGATTATTATACTATTAAATATTTAAAGTATAAAATTAAAAAAAAAAAAAATTAAATAGGTTCCCCGGCTCCCGAAGAAAACTTGATTTGGGTCGAAACAAAAAAAAATCCAAGTTCTGTAATAGTGATATAAAAATAATTAATTAAAATTTAAATATATTGAAGTTAATAGAAATTAATTAATTTAAAATAATTTCTTCTTAATAATTATGAAAGTGACTTTTAAAGTGTTTATTAGTATATGTTTATTTTAATCATATTATTTGAGTATTTTAAGTTATTTTATGTCATTAAAAAATTTTGAATTTTATACTATTAAATATAATAGTTCCTGTAATACCAATTTTTACTATAAAATATAATAAATAAATAAAGTAAAATTTTTGTAAATCATTAATAAATGCATTTGTATGTAAAATGTTAAAAAAAATATGGGATATAAGTGATCGGTCAAAAAACCTTTTGTTACATATGTTACACACAATGAAGCGACTCATGGCGGGTTAAATGGTAAATTGTAATTTGTTTCAAAGTAAATTAGTGTTTTAAGACTAGCTAACTGCGTGATTTCCATAGAAAAATCATCTAAAACTCTTTTTGAGTTTATTTCACAGTCTTGTTCACAAGTTATCTGCATAAGGTTTTCCAAACGATCTTCTGTCATGGTACTTTTTATTGATACTTCAGCTGCACCGCCACAATCCCACCCACAAACCCACTACCAAACGAAAGGCGTAGATTATTAACGCGTGGTGTGTGAATAATATATCCCTAAGACCTAAGAGATAAGAGCTCTTCATAAAATAATTATAAGGAGGAAGGAAATAGCCAAACTGAAACACCTTTCCCTTCTTTCCCTTTCCACCTTAATTTTTACTTTTGTGTGTTTTTGAGTTATTACTCAATAATTTAAATTGCATATATAGGTTGTATAGGTCGTATGTAACTGAGTAATTAGTGATTACTAATGCAATAATGTAATTAATATAATTAGTGATACAATAAGTTATTACTGGTATTTAAAGTTTATACCTATTACTGATTAGTAACTTAAATAGCCATAACTTGTTTAAATAAATTCAAGTGTGTTACCATGCCTGTATTTTATTCCATTTGAAATAAATAACTATTTCTGTAATGAATAAAATAATTATAACCGAGCTGTGCAAAATTAAAATGTATCAAATTAATGTCATTTTGGATTACATTGGATCATTATTAACAAGTAGTTACTGTTGTTGTAAACTCATATTTAATGAAGTTATAATTTTCTATTTACAGGAGAACCTTTTGAGTTTGATAGTAAAAATAATATGTATATTAAATTATTAAGTATCCTCATCTCATTGGAAAAATATCATAAATCGATTGTAATAATTCAAAAACGAATGGTTGATGTTGGCCAAGCAGAAAAATACTTGAGAGCTGATGAATCAAATAGTAAAATTCTAATTTATCATATTTGTAATGTAGCCGTATAATATTTAAACCTATATTTTGTGCCCCATGTTGACATTTCTTTCTATTATTACGAATAATTGTATTCGTATATATGTTACATTTCAATTATAGACGTTATTGTTTATTGTAATGAATCATTACAAACCAAAAACTCTATGGAACTGGAATTTCGGAAAAAAAAAGCTATTATGGAATCAAAAAATAAATTATTAAATGTTTTAAAAAGAAAAGACTTACATCACAGGTATTTTTAATATTATTTAATATAAGATAAGTAATATTTTAAATGTCAAGTTAAAGTTATTATAAATAAAATTATAATAAATGAAAAACAATTCAAATTA